CCCCCCCCCCCCCCCCCCCCTTCCCAAATTATATTGTTGACAACAACTGGAGTGAAAAGTCTTTAAAATATTTACATGTCACAGTCAAGTATTCAAGATAGTCAGGCTTTTTGTTCCCTGGTGGACAAGTGGCTTGCATGTGGCACTCTCACCGCCGCGGCCCAGGTTCGATTCCTCGTCAGGGAAGCAACTCCAGCCACTGGACGGTTGTATGAGCCAGTGCACTCTCAGCAGTGCAATCTCAGCGCCCGACCCAAACCCGGAAAATGGGGATAGTTGCGTCAGGAAGGGCATCCGGCTTAAAACTTGTGCCAGAATCAAAATATGCGGATGGGTGATCTGCTATGGCGACCCTGAATGGGAGCAGCTGAAAGAGGGAAGAAAAATGTCGCAGAATTTTGTGACTCTTTGTTTGGTAAGGACACACTAATCTACTTTTCTCCTGAAATCTTTTGCACCTGCATGCAATTGCATCAAATTGTCCATATTATTCTTTGTCCCAATCTTTTCTTACCCAGATCTACAATTCATCCTGATTTACAGACAAATACCTCTTTAAGAACCAGTGGAGACAAGGCCCCAAAAATGATAGAGATGTGTAGTTATTATATAGTAGTACTTAATCATGATTCCCAAAACTGGAAACACTACATGTTCTAAAAAGGCAAATACTGCTTCCCTACAGATCCTGCCATCCTGTGATGCAACTGATGACTATGAATAAGCCATCTCCTTAATCTACAATTACTGAGTTATACCTACAGATAAAGTTATACTGATTCAAACAATAACTAGTACATTGCTATTGCTAGCCATTAACGTACATCCAATATAAGTGAGACTAGATTTCTAGATTATAAGCCCTCTTGAGTACTAGCAATTATTCTAACCTTTGTGGTTAGATGTGAACTCTCTTTTGTATTATGTATTATCTCATTTGTAAATGGATTTGAATAAAAGCCTTTTTTCCTAGCAACTGAATGTAAATGTAAGGCAAACGTGAAACTTGATCTATATAAGTGAGACACCTGCAAAAAAAAGATTTACACAGCTGAGAAACACCACTGCAGAAATGAAAGCGTCTGTTTTCCTTTTGGCATTCCTTTGTGGGATTACTGTAGCTCTGAGGAGAGAATACATTTACTTTCCTACAACAATGACCTGGACTGATGCTCACAAGTACTGCACACAAAATTATGGAGGTCTGGCTACCATCACAACTGATGAGGAAAACCAGAAGCTTAAAATGGGTAAAGAAAACTTCACTCTAGGCTGGATTGGGCTATATAGAAGCCCAGTAAATTCAAACAATTGGCTCTGGTCTAATAGACAGCCAAGTTTGTTCTTTAGGTGGTGCAACATGCAGCCAAATAATTATTACGGAGTCCAGAACTGTGCTTCTATGGTCCCATGTGGCTGGAATGATTTAGAGTGTGAGAGAAGTCAACCTTTCTATTGTAATAGTGGCTTGGATATCTTGGTTAAAGAGAAAAAGTCATGGGAGGGGGCTCTTGACTATTGTAGGATTCTTTACACTGGCTTGGCCTCTATGTCACAACTACACCTGCCTGAAAGTGATACCAAGCAGATCCAAGCTTCTAGCGTGTGGACCGGCCTGCACTTCATCAATGGAAATTGGTTCTGGGTGAGTGGGGAGCTGCTGGGGATACCAGAATCACTGCCAGCATGTCCAGCACAAGCCTACAGCTGTGGAGCTTACAACTTCAAGACTAATGTCTGGGAGAACAGACACTGCAATGAGAAGCTTAATTTCATTTGCTATTGAGGTAAAGTAATAGATATACAGATCAATAAATGCAGGTCCTAAATCCAGGTATAAATATTAATCACATCATTTGTTGGTGTGACTTGTATCTTATTTAATCATATCTAAGAGATAACTTTTTTGTCATTCTCTGAACAGATGGCTTTCCATGGGTGGGACAGAGCACTTCAAGAATATGTGTATGACAAGATACTCTTCATTCATAGCTAAATATATATACTGCTTGGCTCACTTTATTTCTGTTAAACTATTTTAAATCCCAACTTTACGCACTGACTAAACAAAAATTTCTGCTGCCTCAAAAATTGATTAGAGCTGGTGTTAGTTAACTGCTTTTTCTCTTGGATGCAAGACATAAGATACTGTGTAATGGCTTGGCATTTTGGTGAAGGATAATATAAAGAATAACATACAAATACAAATGCTGCTTAAAATACCAAGTTATGGTCATTTTAGAGCTTACTAACAAGTAGGTCAGTACTTTCTGAATAAGTAAGTAAATTAAATAAATTTTAAAAAATAAATAAATAAACAAATAAAGTGTGTGGTGTCCTGTGTTGAACTGGTGTCCCATTCAGAGTGTGTCCCTGCCTCCCAGGACCCGGATCCATCATGACCATGACCAGGACAAAGCGGTCACTGAAGATGAATGAATTAACATAATATACATTTGGCGAAAATAAGAATGTAAAAATTAACAAATCACCCAAGGAACAAACACTTGCCCTCACTACCTGTAATAAATGTTTTGTGGTCTGAATGGCTCTGAATGCGGTCTGAGTGCTCACTATGGCTGAATTCTAGGAAACGTGAATTTACCCCAAAAACAATGTTTGACCAAAATTGAGTTTTTCTCTCAATAAAATATTTTAACATTTCTAGTAATGGAAATATAAATACAGTATATTTAACCAAAATGATGTGGAAAGTTTTTTATTGAGGCTACTTTCTAATCTTGCCTTGCCATCTGCCTGCAAAGATCAGGTTGGGTAAGGAGTCAGTTTAACAAATGCACCAGTAAAAATAGTCAGTTTACCGATAGATGTCTAAAAACTAGCTAGCTAAGTGTGCTTTTCTCATGATTTGATTGAGTCCTTGGATAGTTACATTCCCGGAGAGATATAAGCCTAATTAATCAGATAGTGTTATGTGATGGAATCCTCACGAAACAAGAGAAAAGTGCTTACACACACTGTAAAGACGACAGCGGAAAAAGTTTTAATAATGTTAAAATAACCTAATATAAAGACATTAATAACAAGAATTTCAGGCAACAGAACAGAACTGACTGAATGAATCAGTGATTTTTTTCCCCACTGATGTTAGCATGAACAGATGAAGAGACAATGATGAGGCTTATGTTTAAAATGCTGCGAGTGACTTTTACCTCAGGGGATGAGACTGATGTGGATGAAGTTGATAATCAAAGTAATAACTCATTTCCCATTGCAAATGAATTTACAGTTTGGTAATTTTAACAATAATGTTTATCCACAAGTAGATTAGATTAATAAATGTAGAGGTAGCTGGGGTATCTTTCAGTGGAATTGGAATGAAATCTTTAAACGCAATTTTCTCTGTTTTCAGTTTTGGAGGTAAGCAGACTTTAAAATGCTAGAACTTTAACTGTGATTGAGATACATGCAAATAGAAACATATTACAGTTCAGGAAAACACAAAGTTGTCAGAACTATAGTGGAAAATGTCAAAATTTGACCATGTGAAGGGTTGTCCCAGGCCGCCACACATCGAGTAGCTGGTGTCCTAGACTGATTTAGGAAATTTACAGAGGCAAACAGATATAAATGCATGAGCTAGTAGGTGGTATATGAGGTTGCGATAAAAATACACGAAATCTAAATGAGAGAGCTTACTTGCTGCAAAGCTACCAGCTGTTTTAATCAATTTCCTTTAAATTTTAATCTAAATATAATATTGAGTGGTATGGTGGTGTAGCAAACGGACCACCCAACATTATATTTAGTAACATTCAATTCCACGTGTCCGCGTGGGTTTTCTCCGGGTTCTGTGGTTTCCTCCACCTCCCAAAAACATGCAGGTACTGGCTATCAACTGGCTATGAGAAATTACCCACAGGTGTTAATGAGTGTGTGAATGCATGTGTGGATGGTGCTGTGTGATTGACTGGCATCCCATTCAGTGTGTATTCCCGCCTCACCCCAGTGTTCCCAGGATATGCTCTGGATCCTGAGCAGGATAAATCGCTTACTGATGATGAATGAATGAAAGAATGAAAAATAAATACAAAATGTTTCTTATTTGGACTTGACCATTTTTAGGTAAGTCCATAACTATATCATACGTAAGTGAGAACAGGAACTAACTTGTCTCTTGGATGTTCTACAACATTAAATCTAACTATAAACCATTAAAATATGCAATGTGACATTCATTAATAAATTAAATTAAACATCACACCCGCCCAGTGTGCATTATTTATTTATTTATTTATTTATTTATTTATTTTTAATATATATTTTAGATTGAATTCTTTGTGTAAATGGTTCAGCTGTTTTTTATTTTATTGTTTATTAAACTTTTTTTCTCCTTATACAAGATAATGCAGAAATCATTCCGTTCATTCGTGCATAATAAATGATATGATTGATATTAGTGGGAGGCCCCTGAGTAAGATATCGCTTAGGGCCCTCAACTGTTCAAAGTTGTTGGGGTTTTTTTTCCACCCACTTCCGCATTTTCAAAAAAGATGGCCACAGATTTGACGCGAAAACGGCGAATCTGGCAACCTCAGCTCCATCACCGCGGCTCGCTCTGTCTCTGCCTCCACGTGCCTGCCATTCCTGAGTGCGCATTACGCACGCGCCGCATTTTTACACGCATGCGCACACCACAGTGTCTTCCCCTTCCCTTAGCCTGTGTGCTCGAGTAGTTAACCTTTCGGCAGGCGAACATCATCATGTTTTCTGCCGTTATTCGTGTTTCTGCAGCCGGCATCAGGAGTTTAGCACGAACAGGTCCTCAGTGTACGGGTAAGTGTGTGATTTCTTTTAAAAAAGAAATATAAATACATATATTCATTTCAGTTGTTCTTAGCTGCTCTCTGGTGTTGCTTGGATTCTAGAGAAGCTACATTTTAGCCGGTCAGTAAAATGGACTTTAAGTGGTTTAGGCAAAGTTTTCAAAACTGTCTCTGTCCATAAAACTGGCTTGGTATAAAATAAACATAATAACAAGTTATGTTTTGTCGAAAAATAACGTCGTTGTCCCTTAACATTCACTAGTTAGCATGTTAGCTAATAGAGTTCATGCCCTTGTGATGACCGAGCAATCATAAACCATAGCAAGTTCTTCTCAGCTATTATTTACACATCATAATGTTTAGAGTCTATAATCTAATATAATTTCTTCATTTATATAG